AGAGTTCAGTTCTAGGACAAATTCTTTCCTATTGTATGTAAACGATATACATAAGCACCCGATCCTCTTCTTGTTAACGGCTAGTAACCGCCTTAGTTAACTAACAAAAATGGTTAATAACCGTGACAGACAACTTCCTTTACTTGCCGGAAGTTACGTTGTTACGGTTTCAGCCGTGTCGCTAAGGTTGCTGAAACTCATCCAAACATTGTTTACGGATTTTGTACTAGTAGTGTTAGCACATCTAATCATACTTTTCTTTATCGATGCCCAAAACGCGACGCTCGTTCATTCCCAAACCAAAGAATCGCAGTTCTTTCACTGTTCGATCTTTAATTTCGAATCGAAATCGAAATGTAAACTTCCCGATCAAAGATCATAGAAGAAATGCATTTACTACGTCGTTTGCCTCAAGCTTCACAGACGAGGTTTCCTCTTCAGATGGCGTAAACATTGATTTATTCCAGCCAACAGAAAGAGGGAAGGAGGTAAAAAACCAGAAGTGGATAGATCGGAAGAGTAAGAGTGTTGAGGAATGGCAGAAATTGAGTGATGATCTGCTGGAAACGTGGCTTACGCAGGAGGCCGCCATATAGAAGGGAAAGCATGCGTTCAGTGTGTTGAGCTGGGCCGTGAAGTTATTGGCACAGTTCGTTGTAAAGACTGTGGCCCTTACCAATTTTTCTGTGAAGACTGTGCAGTTAGACTTCACTCAGAGAGATGCTGCTTTCATCTACTTGAAAAATGGGAGGTGAGTGTAGGGTTTACGTGTGAGCTAACAAAAATTATTGAAATGAATCTTCATACTCTACGAATAAGCATAGGCAGTGTTTTTATAAGTTTTTATTTTCATTATTTCTATAGAATGGGTTTTACACACCATTTTTTATCCGAAAGGGCATGGGTTCACCTCCAGAACAGCATAAACCAACGTGCATAAGGAAAGAAAAGATATTAAACCTGGTTGATGACAGAGGTAAGTTAAGCTACATATATATCAGTTTGAAAGTCATAAATCATAAGACTATATGAATTTGGGTAATTGTGATTTATGAGATGTATTGTTTGATATAGGTATTCACAACGAAGTTGAGTTCAAGTTCTGCTCTTGCGAAACCGGAGGCAGCCACCCTTCTTCGCCATGGATTCTGGCCATTTTCTCCACAAAACCCCCAAACAGCCATCAGCCTTCACCTGTTAAATATCGTGTATCTGTACATGATGGAATGCCAAGTCTCTCTGAAACGCTCTTGTGCCGTGATCAGGCTCCTATCTAATCCTTTTCACCAAACTAAGGTTAAACATAATTTAAGTGTAATTGTATAAATTATTATAATTAATCAATGTTTACATTCATTTAATTTGGAAGCACGTATTTAAAATATTGCATTTTGACATTTATTTTATAATTGATATTTACTTTTAATAAATCAGACTAGCTAAATAGGTCTTCCAAGGTTAAGATCAGGTTAATATATTTCCATGTTTTATAAATTAAGACATCTACCCTGGGAGCGTAAAATTATATCTATATATTTATATTAATACCCATCATGATTGGTTGTACTACATGAATGTTTTAATATTGTGTAATAAACAACAACAAAAAAACAAATATATACCTTTATTTACTATTTTACTTCTAAAAAGGACCCTAGTGTCTGAAACGTCAGTAAGTTTTCTCATTTTACAGTGTATTTCCCTGTATGTGTACTAGGGTGTTTTCTTCATTCACACAATTTATGTACAGTAGATGTGATATTATTACACATATTATGTATAAGTTAGAGAAGAGTTGAGAAAAAAACGCCATTATGATATTGTATTAAATGTGATGTTTAATTAGTTATAGATCCTGTGGTTTTTGTTTTGACAGGTCAATGTTCCTGATGTATATAAGAGTCTGGTTAATAATGAATCATACCAACAGTACTGGTAAATAGATCATTATATGTATATACTGTAATTTTATTGTGTTGTCTTCAGTACTTCTGAAGCAAATATCTTGAAAAGTCATCTTTGTGTTCATTTACAAGGTTGTGACTACAACCTGTATGGATGACTGTAAGCTGGTTTAAAGTGGCAGTTCAAAAGGGACATTTGGATGTATGCATAGTGTTAATGGGTATTCACTGTTCAACAATTAATGTCTGATTAATACGTTTGTCTGTTATTTCAATTTTTAGTCTGTTTAGATACCATCTTAAATACAAAGTCACACCATGTGATCCTGGTAATGTTTGCCAAGCATGTCCAAAGGTTTGCATGTTAATCATTATTTAACAAATTGACATCTGTTCAGATTTTTATGTGTCTGTCCTATTATTAACGATAAATTGGTTGGGTCATCATACATCACATTGTCAAAGTAGTGTGGATCCACGAGCCGTAGCTGAAGTTAAAGTTAAAGTTTTGTTAATACAAAACTCAGAATGATTGACAAAGTTCAATGAAACTGCTCAATTCTGAAGTTATTTCATTGGATTCATAGGGCCCAAGAGAAGGACCAACCATTCATTCCTTTGATGCCTGCTTTGGCCTTGTAGGGAAGAAATCTTCAGGTGAAAGTGTTCATCCGCCTTCACTTGAGGGAATTTTTTTCTTGCCACAAAAGAATGCTGATAATTTTGTTGAAAGCTATTCAACAAATTCAATGTCCCAAAAAGGAAACAAATTAAGGTTTCATCTGTAAGTAATATTTCTATGCTATATCAATTTAGTTGGGTAAAGATAATATGTTGTTTCTATTTAAATGATGTTACAATAATTGTAAATTTATTCCAATTTGTTTAGTCAGGGTTTCTATATAGTGATTTAAACACTCTCCTCTACGTCCCATTTACCATTGACTTGTGTGTGTTGCACAAACTAAAAAAAAAAATCAAACAGATCAAAGTTTTTAAATCAGAGACAACAAATTTCACAGCAATTGTATTTAGCCAGGGGCTGATCTCAACTGTAATAGCTAGGTTTATAAATTACTTTGTCCTGTACATGTATTTTGTGTAATKAAAAGCATTTTGGTTTTGTTTAGGACTGTAATGAATTCCACGCAGGTGAGATACAATCTGTGATTAGATCCAAARGAAAGTCCAAAGTCTTTGACGAAAAAGCTGTGCTTGGAGGAATTTGTCGACATGAATCACCAACTGTTGGATTTATGAACACAAAAGCAGGGGAAAAGTAGGAGTTTTGTGATTTCTAAATCTTAATTATAGCTAAAAATTGTGTATAAACTACTTTTTCAGGGATTCATATTCAATTTACATACCTCAAAAATTCTATACAATACTAAAAACTGTGTTACTATTTTTTTAGGATTTCCTTTTCAATTTACTACCTCAAAAATTTGCTAAATAAAAACTCTGGCAATGTGTTTTTTATCTATGACATTGGTTGTATCCTTCATAAACATCTTCAGGTAAAATATCATACCATATACGGTATATGAATTTAATTGCAAGTGTATATAAATAACATTATATGCGTAATATATTGCAAATTTATTTTTCATATTCTTATAGTTATTTTGTTGTCTTGAAGAATGGACCTTTAAATACCATGTTGGACCAAGTTACGCTATCTTTACCGAGTTTTCATTGTTTTGGCCACAAATACTCATGTCAGGTATGGCAATTAATATATGACATCTTATTAATTATTAATTATTAATTACAATGGATTGTTGTTCTATGCATACATTTTATTTGTTATCTCATATTTGAAAAATTTCACCTGTCACATTCTATTATGAAATAAAGTTTAAGGTTTTCTTACGAGTATACCAATTTCTCTAAATTTCATGGTTCATCACAAAATATGTGTAAAGAATGGATTTCCTTCAGTTCTCTTATTCTTAGTTCAATGGACGCACTGAGTGTTGACCATTTCTTAAATGACTTATCTACAGTAGTCTTAATCGCTTCTGTTCAAGGTGAAGTATGGCCCAAAGAGATGCAAAGGAATTGGCCTGT